GGAGAGGGAGAGGGAGGAAACGTAGAGACACCTTGGTTAGGTTTTAGTCTGTGGCAACCTTTCAAAAAAAAAAACAACTGACCCTTCACTCCAATTCCAGGCTATTTGAGGGATAAAGGTCTCCTGGAAGTTTCTACAAAGCTTCTAGTCCAAGTGGATTCACAAAAGTGAGAGAGCTAGCGTCTAAAAGGATTGTGCTTGGTTTAAAGGGCTGGGAGGAACTGTCCTGGAGACTTGTGGCTAATCATCGCAGCAGTGTTATAGCTGTGGAGGTGGTTTTGTTAGCCTTCTGTATCATCATCTTCCACCTGAAGACCAAAAGCACTAGCCCCCAACAACAGGCATTAAAACAGCAACCCATATGGCCAATAGTTTGTTCAAATCACACCGCACTCCAGCTTTATGGGGCTCATGGTCTATTGGAAGTATGTCACAGTACCCAACTGACAAACCATGGGGGTAGCGGGGGTTTAAAAAGTTTTTTTTTAAAAATACAGTAAAGGTGAACCTGAACTGGAAGGAGCCAGCATGACCACCTCAACTGAACTTAGGCTGTTCTAGCTCGACCTTTGCTGGGCTCAACACACCTTGCGCACCAGGCCACTAAATCCACTTGGTGGTTGGATTGCAAGAGATGGAGGGCATGCCTCAAGCTTTCCAAACTCTTCAGGGCTCTTCCGGAACTCGGGAGGTCCTAACGTGAGCATCATCCCTTGAGTAAGGGGCCAGCAGCCTGGCCAGCGATCAGTAAGATACACATCAACCTGCTCCCCGGGCACAATCTCATCTTTAAAGACTGCTCACAAGTGCAGTGCACAGGGAGACTGTGATATGCGAGACGGGCAGAGAGAGAGAGAGAGAGCGAGCGAGAGCGAGAGAGCGTGAGCGAGACGTGAGACGCAGCATGTAAACCAGAGGGACTACTACTCCCCAACGGTGCTTCCTCACTTAGAACTGGTGGTCCAGCAGCAACTGTGCTGCTGTGTTCTCTGGCTCCTCCTTCGGCTCCCATTCCTTCAAGTCATGGCCCCCTCCTCTCGGCAGCGGGATGGCATCCTGATCCAATCTCAGCGAAAAGGCATCCCCTTCAGGGACTTGACTGAGGTCGCATGGTGGATGACAAGGCACCTGGAGAAGAGACGGTGGAAAAAGTTAACTTTGAATCCGATTATTACAATAAAGGATGCAGAGGCACTGGCATAGTACGCTACCATGACTGAGCGGATCGAAACTGCAGTGAAGGTTGAGCAGACCGGAACACCTCTCTCTCTCTGTAACATACAGACAGGGAGCAGGAGTAGGGAATTCAGCCCCTTGAATCTGTTCTGCTATTTAATACCATCACAGCTAAGGGAAGTGAAGAATGGTCTGAGTGAGGTCTTTATAATTGCGAAGGTCTGTCAGGTTTAGGGGAAAGACTAATAAATCTAACAGCAAATTCAGAAAGTTGGAACAGGAACCTCAGGACAATCTGGCCAAGGGGGTTAAACTCGCTGCCACCAGGCGTGGTTGTACAGGAACGTAGTTAAAGGGTAAATTCAAAGGGTAAAAGAACAGAAGGATATGTTGATAGGGTAAGATGTAGAAGGTGTGGGAGTAAGTTTGTGCGTAGCATAAATACCGACATGGACCAGATGGGCCTCTTTCTGTGCCCCGCTGTCTTTAAACAGCGACTGTTTCACAACTGACTCAGCACCAGAGTGATGGGTATTTTCTGACCAAATGTATCAGGAATACAGGGGTACGGCTGGTTGCACATTTGGAGATAAGATGCAGGTCAGCCACAATTCCACTGAATGATGGAAACATCCTCGAGTGGCTGAAAGGCTTCCCTCCCCCGATCCAGTCCCTTCCATTGGCTGAGGCTCACTCTCCTCTCGGAGTTAGGAGGGAGTGCAGGTTCGAGACGCTCTCTGCAGACACGCAATCCTTCCTGCCGCTCCCAGGACCGACGAGATGTTCACCCTATCCCTGACAACAGAGCAGCACGGTGGCTCAGTGGTTAGCACTGCTGCCTCCCGGTGCCAGGAACCCAGGTTCGATTCCACCCTTGGGCGACTGTCTGTGTGGAGTTTGCACATTAGAAAACTAGAACAGTACAGCATAGGAACAGGCCCTTCGGCCCACAACATTGTGCTGAACATGACACCAAATTTAACTTGGTCCAGATATCTCCATTCCTTGCATGTGCTTATCTAAAAGTCCTTTAGATGCCCCTATCATATCTGACCCCACCACTACCCCTGGCAGCGTGTTCCACACTCCTACCACTCTGTATAAAAAAAAAAGTGGCCCTCACATCTCCTTTGAACTTTCCCCCTCCCATCTTAAATGCAACCCTACCTCCCCCACCCCGGTATTAGACATTTCAACTCTTGGGAAAAAGATTTTGACCATTGAACCTATCTATGCATCTCATAATTTTATAGACTACTATCAAGTCTCCCCTCAGCCTCTGCTGTTCCAGAGAAAACAACCTGAGTTTTTTCTAACCTCTCCTTATAGCTCCTACCCTCTAATCCAGGCAGCATCCTGGTAAACCTCTTCTGCACCCTCTCCAGAGCCTCCACATCCTTCCTGTTAATGTCTGTGTGGGTTTCTTCCAGGCGCTCCAGTTTCCTCCCACACTCCAAAGATGTGCAGGTTACGGCAGATTGGCCGTGCTAAATTGCCCCATGCAACAAAAACAAAGTTGCTGGAAAAGCTCAGCAGGTCTGGCA